ATCTAATCTAATCTATTCTATTCTTATCCCTTATTCTATTCTATTCTGTTCTGTTCTGTTCCGTTCCGTTCCATTCCATTCCATTCTATTTTATTTTACTACATTCTATTCTATTCTATTCTATTCTATTCTATTCTATTCTATTCTATTCTATTCTATTCTATTCTATTCTATTCTTCATTCCAGTATCTAATCTAATCTATTCTATTCTTATCCCTTATTCTATTCTATTCTATTCTATTCTATTCTATTCTATTCTATTCTATTCTATTCTATTCTATTCTATTCTCTAAAGCATAGCCTTGCATGAAAGAGCAAATAATTGCTAATATTTTCAACTCACTTGGCTGCTCATTCTAGGATTTTCCATCACAGGAGGAAGCAGCATGCCTTCTTCTGAAAGAGAGTCCGTGTTCAAAGACCTCATTCCACCAGGTCCCACCATGGAGATCATCCCGTTGCAATCATCTCCGGCATTCCATCTATTGGACTGCATGTAGTTAGGAGTAGCCGGATGTGATCCATAGCCGGGTTGACTTTGGGTGCTTGGATGCCTTACTATACGTGTAGGCAAAGTACAGCCACGTTGGAGCTCCATCTCCCCAACACTGTTGGATTCATCATCCCCAAATTCGGCCTTGGATCCAGTCTCTTTCCCTGATAGGTGGAAACTGAAGATATTCCCATGACTTAGCCTCCGTTTTGATGGGTTTGAAGAAGGCCCACAACCATAGCTGAAGATCTGCAGGGAACAAGGATGGGAGAAACGAAATGCAACACAATATTGGCATACGTTGGTTTCTATCAACTAGGGAAGTTCTTCAAATAAATAAATTACTGGTAAAGGAGAATATGAGTTTGGTTGCAGATAGTCCACTAGCACTTGGTGTTAGTTAGTTTGGTAATGAAATGCCTGCAAGAAAACAACCAAGCTCAGAGGGTACCAAGGACCCCACAAATAAAATTATAGACTGCAAAATGCAGCATAAATATGTCTTAGGCTCCCCTTCAATAAATAATGTTATTCATGATTTATTTCTTCAGCTTACTTTGGGGACATATCTATAGAGATTCTCAATCATTCAGGTCACGTTTATCCCAATATTGCTTTCCCAAAAATCAATGGACTTTTTTGATTTTTTTCCTTTGCAAACATCTCACTTCTCATCCAAATGACTCTTCTGATCTTCAGTTGAACTGAAGAAGCTTCTTGACTGAGAAGCAAAACATTTTCAAGAAGAAAAAAAACTGGGAAAGTTCAGTTGCTTTTTTAAAAAGCACTGTTGCAAGAAATGTCCATCAGGGTTCAGTTCCAAGTGGGAAGAAAGACACTGGAAACTTGGAGGCTGCTTGGAAGGATGGTTTAATGGAGAAGCACCACCACCAAGCATGTGTGATTCTGGGTAGATGACCACATGGAAGAGATGGAGAGAGAGAGAGAGAGACAGTGGGAGACAGAGGTACAGAAGAGAGATTTATACTCTTTCTTGGGCTTTGAATTGGAGCTTCCTGTTCCTGTGACAAGGGCAGGCAGCTTATTGGTTGCTGTAGGGGTCATGTGCAAATCCTAAGAGCTTGTTTGAGATAAGTCTGGTTATACTGGGGGTTGATTTAATGTCCCCAGGTGGTTTCGCAATGCAGCGAGCCCTGCTGTTAGATGGGTAGAGGGCTAATCCTATCATGTCACAAGGGCCGTGTTTTCATCCCATCACCTTGGAGCTGAAATGGGGGGGAGGGCACGGAACTGCTTTGTCTTTAAAAGCACATTTCTCCTGTTCTCTTCCAGAGAGGTATAATATCCAGCCTTTTTAATATTTCCTATAATATTTCATTGTTCTAGGAAAGGAATGGGTGCTAGCTTTCTATAGCAGGGGTCCCCAACCACGGGGCCCTGGACCAGTACCATTCCATGGCTCATTTTCTACTGGGCCGCCAGTTTGCTGGGTGCCGCCATCTTGTTTTGATGAGAAAGTGCTTCCAGGTGAGCTTTTCCGGTTGGAAAGCAGCGTTTGGGTCCTGAAGGAATCCTCGCGCCTTAGTTTCATCGAAGGGGGGGGCGGCTTCGAACGAAGAGCCATCCTGATGGCGGAGGAGATTAAGAAAGCACAAAAAAAGTACAAAGGAGGAGTTGAAGGTGGCGGGGAGAAGCGGGGGACGGCTGGCTGGCCAGTCGCTCGGCTCGCCTTGCCTTGTCATGCGTGCTGATGCTGGTACCGGGCCGTGGATCATTTTGTGATGCCGGTACCGGGCCGTGGCACAAAAAAGGTTGGGGGCTCACTGGCACAACCATGATCTGGATGATTGAGAATTTCCATAGATGCTTTCACAGAAAAAAAAAAATCAAGGAAGTCCAATTTCCATTTGAAAAAAAAACACCTTTAGGATTACTTTGGGGACATGGCAATGGAGAATTTTATTTTATTTATTTTTTTACAAAAAAACACATATCAGTTTGCACAATGTGGTTGGAATACTTTTCTAGGTCACAGAAAAAGATATTGAAAGTCACTTTTTGAAGTAAATTTGCCAAAAACTTCCACGCAAGAGTTTTTAGTCAGCAACTAGTGATTACAAATTGCATACTGGAATCAAGTTTTCTCAATCGGTACATTTTTTTCCCACAGTTTAAGCTTTCCGTTTTGCAAGAGCCTTTTTTCGAAAGTTAAAAGGGTATTAGGGATAGTCCTCAAATTACAGTGACAGTTGAGCTGAAAATTTCTGTTGCTAGGTGAAACAGTTGTTAAGGGAGTTTTACCCTCTTGTACAACCTTTTTTGCCACAGTTTAGTGAATCACTGCAGTTGTTAAGTTAGCAATGTGATTGTTAAGTGAATCTGGCTCCCCTATGGACTTTGCCTGTCAGAAGGTCACAAAAGAGGATCGCATGATCCTGGGACACTGTGACCGTCATAAATATGAATCACTTGCCACACATCTCAATTTTGATCACATCACCAAGGGGATTCTGCAACAGTCATAAGTGTGAAAAACGGTCATAAGTCACTTTTTTCAGTGCTGTTTTAAATTCGAACAGTCACTAAATGAACTGTTGTTAAGTTGAGGACTACCTGTATCATATATAAGCAAAACCTAACGCTAATGTACTGTTTTCCGATGGCTGTCGTTTGATGCTGGCCCCGAATCTTCCATTCCTAAGGACAGTTTCTTCCTTCGGTTGCTTCGTTCTTTGTCTTCCTTGGATGCTGGAGACACTTCAAAGGAGCTAAGAGACATGCTGTCATTTTCTTTGGCGTTTAATTCCTAGATTGTAGAAAGAGTGAAAGGGAACTATGTAATTCTATTTTCACATACATTTTTTAAAGATCACTATTTATAACGATAACTTCGCAGTTACAGCTGCTGGTTTACCTTGGCTGTCTAAAAGACTCCCAAAGTCATTGTAGTCTTTTCTCAATTGTAAAATGTTCAATATTCTTCTTTTAGGACTGCATTAAAAAACAATTACTACTAACCTGCCTTCCATGGAGGACCTGTATACTGCACGAGTCAAAAAGAGGGCTGTGAAAATATCTACAGATCCCTCACATCCCGGACATAAACTGCTTCAACTGCTACCCTCAAACGACGCTATAGGGCACTGCACACCAGAACAACTAGACACAAGGACAATTTTGTCACGAACGCCATAACTCTGCTAAACAAATAATTCCCTCAGCACTGTCCAACTATTTACTAAGTCTGCATTACTATCACTATTAATCTTCTCATCACTCCTTATCACCCATCCCCTCCCACTTGTGACTGTATGGCTGTAACTTTGTCACTTGTATCCTTACAATATTTTTTATTGACTGTTTCCTAGTATGATTGGATTGCTTATTGTGCTCTGTGACTATTAAGTTGATGGTTTATTGTACCCTATGACTATTATTAAGTATTATTACCTTATGATTCTTGATTCTTGAAGGATGTATCTTTTCTTTTTATGTACACTGAGAGCATTTGCACCAAGACAAATTCCTTGTGAGTCCAATCACACTTGGCCAATAAAGAATTCTATTCTATTCTATTTTAAAAATACATCTGGTATATTGTTGCAAATCCAAACCAGATAACCTTCAAAAGCATAACAGAAAACCATCTCCTTCCCTAGCATTGTCTCCAAATATATTCATTTATTTGAAATTTTCATCCTATCTTTCCTACAAGAAGTTCCAGGCCCTATACAAAATGTTCCTTCCTTGCTAATCTGAGCCACTTCCTTCTTCTTTTTCTGGCACACATAGATATATTCTTGGTCTCACTTTCTCGTAAGGTAGGCTATTTTGCTATCTCTATCAGAATTTCCTATAAATAAATCTCCTTTCTGTTATAGACACCAAACTTACTTTAACTAGTCAAGCCAGATGGTCTTATAAAAGTGTTGCATAAGAATTATGGAGGCTCAGTGGCCAAGATGCATATTGCAGGCAACTCTGCATTCCTACTGCCTGGAGTTCGATCCTGACCGGCTCAAGGCTGACTCAACCTTCCAATCTTTCTGAGGTCGGTAAAATGAGGATCCAGATTGTTGGGGGCAATAGGCTGACTCTGTAAAAACCGCTTAGAGAGGGCTGTAAAGAAGCTAGGAAGCGGTATACAAATCTAAGCGCTATTGCTATCATTGCTACACAAGCCCAGGGGAGCCTGCAAACGGAGGAGGGTAGAGATCATTGAAAAAGTCAACACGGCAGCCATGAACATACCATTGAAGCTCCTCCCTATTTTCTGCATATCGTGAAACATGTAAAAATGGGATTACATGTTTGTAACCAACATCTTAACTTTTTGGACTTTCTCTGCGCAGGTTTATCTTGTCCGTCACAAGCAGAGAATTGCAACGACACGATGTTCTTTTAGTCGTTTTAATGAAAGCAACCAGACTTATACTCACCTCTTGTTCTTTTTTTAGCATTTCCATGGTTTCCCGAAATTTTCTCTCTTTGGCCTCTGTTTCGGCAATAGTGGCCTTGCTCTGTTCTTCATAAGCCATGGTGACCACAGCTAGGATTAGATTGACCAGATAAAACGAGCCCAGAAAAATGACCAGCACAAAAAATAGCATATAGATCTTCCCGGATACTCTCAGCGTCTGAAATTAGAAGAATATATTAACCAACTGTGAGAAGTTTTATATCAAACTGTATTATTCTTTATACTGTTTCTATCTTCCCTTGAAACATTAACAGAACCTAGTATGGTCTGAGAACCAGCATCTCCACTAGGTAATTGACAATCAAGCTGAAAGAAGTAAAAAATAGCGGAGAGAAATCCTTTACCCAAACTTTTCTTAAAAACCTCCAGTGATGGAGTACCAGAGGTGGAATTCAACAGGTTCTGACCAGTTCTGGAGAACCAGTAGCAGAAATTTTGAGTAGTTCGAAGAACCAGCAAATATCACCTCTGACTGGCCCCGCCCCCATCTATTCTCCGCCTCCTGAGTCCCAGCTGATTGGCTGGGTCTTCTTTTGTTGCCCTGCACAGGAGAACGGAGCTGGAAAGCAGGTTAGTGGGGTGGGGAGGGAATGGAGATTTTGCAGTATCCTTCCCCTGCCATGCTCACTGCCACGCCCACCAAGCCACGTCACGCCCACCAAGCCACACCCACAGAACCAGGAATAAAAAAATAATTGAATCCCACCACTGTGGAGCACCTGCAATTTCTGGAGGAAAGCCATTCTACCGATTGGTTGGTCTCACTGTCAGGGAATCTCTCCTTAATGCTAGGTTGGATTTCTCTTTCCAGCTCTTACTTCTTGTCCTGCCCTCAGGAGTTTCAATTTCAACCATTCCCTCCCAGTTATTCCTATTCTAGAGCTGTGTGATATTATGTCAGTGGAAACACACACTCTGCTAAGGGGTCTAATCGTTTTGATAAATGTGCAATCAAGATTTATAGTGGATTGAGAAATCAGCAATCTGGGAATCTTTTTTAATATTGGTGCTTAAATGTTATACTTAACATCTTGAAATAACAATGGCTGGAGAGACATTAATAAACTTTTAGCCCCTTTATTCAATCAGAATAGGAATAGAATACCTAAAAGATTAGCTCTATAGGCCCTGCTGTACGGTCTCAGCGTTGGGGGCAGTAGGACACTGAACATCAAGGAATACAGTGCGTAAAGATTATATTCTCTACAGGATCCTTATCCAAGGTACAAAGTTTATTTTAGTTACCCAGCTAAAGCAAGCAAGCAATTATATCTGTACATCCCTCTCTAAGGGAGATTGGTGGGTTTTAAATTTTGATAATAAATATTGGGTAGCAGAGATATTGGAAGATGCTGAAGGCAAAGATTGATTTTATTCAATCAGAATTGAGCTGGAAGGGACTTCGGAGGTCTTCTAGTCCAACCCCTGCTGAAGCAGTAGTCTCTATACCATTTCAGACAAGTGGTTGTCTTGTCTTTAAAAACCTCCAGTGATGAAGCAGATACAATTTCTGGAGTCAATTACTTCCACTGGTTCATTGTTGTCACTGTCAGGACATTCCTCCTTAGTTCTAAGTTGCTTCTCTCCTTGATTAGTTTCCATCCGTTGCTTCTTGTCCTGCCTTTAGGTGCTTTGGAGAATAAGTTTGTCCCTTCTTCTTTGTGGCAGCCCCTTAAATACTATAACATGTCACCCCTAGTCCTTTTCTCTCTCTCTAGAATGTCCATATCTAATTCCTGCAACGATTCTTCATATGTTGCTGACAATGGCCAAGGGATCATTTAATGTTGCATTTTGCTAAGAAAGCCACATGGCTGGACAAGCAAAGGGTGTGACAATAGGAAGTCACTTGATTAGGTCAACTGGGTTAAACTGTGGATCAACCTCAGGAAAATGGCAGCCTAGAAAGTCTCGTTGTCCTTATGAAAATGTGTATGTTGCTCAGGAAGTCACAATATGAGAAAAACACATTGAAACAGACTGGTTCTTTTTCAGCACAGAAAAGGGTGTACATTCCTTAGTTGGATGGGATAATAAAGATAAATGAATATTTCAGCTGGATCAGATCATGCATTCTCTCCCAGCAGTGTAATGTGCTGTGCATTGTTGTTAGCCTATGGTACTTTAACCAAACACTTCTGGAGTATTTCTGAGTGGAGGAGGGTTAGTTATGTACAAGAACTCTGGATTAAATTCATTTGTTCTACTTATTTTAGGCCATTTTTTCCACTTCAAAAGTCCCTCGGTTGTTTTATGGCCTGTCAGTCTTACAGGGTTGCTGTTAATGTGAGAGAGAAAAATGGAGAAAGGAATGCTATATTCACTGTCTTGTGATAGATGAATGAATGAATGAATGAATGAATGAATGAATGAATGAATGAACCAACCAACCAACCAACCAGCCAACCAACCAACCAGTATGGTCTTGTGTTTAAGGCACTAGGCTAGAAATCGGAGATGTTAAGTTCTAGTCTCGCCTTAGGCACAAAAGTCGACTGGGTGATTTTGGGCCAATCATCAGGAGATGGTGAGTTCTAGTTCCACCTTAGGCATGAAAACTGTCTTGGTAACTTTCAACTAATCCCCAGGAGGTGGTGAGTTCTAATCCTGCCTCAGGCACAAAAGTCAGCTGTGTGATTTTGGTCCAATCACTCTGCCTCAACTCACAGGGTTGTTGTTGTTGGGAAAATAGGAAGAAGAAGGAGATATGTTCCCTTCTTGGAGTTGTTTATAAAAAATATAATAAAGCTGATATGTAAATAAATAAAATGACTTTGGGATTATTAATTACAGCTTTGTAGCCCTGCCTGGTGAAGGGATGACAAATGGCTGGGCCTATTGACTAATTCCCTGCTCCTTAAGTGGAGAGGTAAGTCCACCCATCTCTTTTGCGACACCCCAAATCTGTAGGCAGTCTAACAGTAGGACTGACCCAAGCTATCCTGCATCTTGACCAACTTGAGGTGTTCAAAATCAGGGATACCAAAAACTGTGCAATGAACATCAGATTATATGTAGAATCTTTGCTCAACATTCTGTCAACTAAAAAGATACTCCTTTGGTCTTTTTAGCTGCCAGAAAAAGGGAGTGGGGGAAAAAAGGCATTCTGGAAATGCCTAGATAACCAACTCAGTAACCCAAAATTGTCGGAGCATAAGAAGGTTGTTGGAGAGCATGATGGATGACTCTTGGAGATGGATGTGTCCTGTTGGAGAAGTCACATCCAGGGGGTGGGGGAAAGACCAGGGTCAAGGGGGAAATGTATGAGGTGATTTAGTATTGGCTGCACCCAGCCACGCACCAACATGGCAATTTCTAATAAACCAATTTACTTTTTCTGAGATGCGGCTAGGGGGATTTATTGGAGCCCTGACACATTCTTTCTAAGACTCCAAAATAAGAGGAACTGGGCAAAAGTACAAGTTGTAGACCCCAAACAATTTTTTCCATTAAAATTTGCAGAGTATTTCCCACAATTTAACATTGCCTACACGCCTAGCCACTTCTCAAGCTGCAGGGATCCCTCCAATCTGTGGGAGATTCCCAAGCACGGATCCATTGACTCCATGTAGCTTAATCTGTTTATCATCATTCCCTAGGATGAGATCAGACTGGGGAAAAGAGTTTTCTGCTTGTGTGGCGTGAACCTCGCGGCACTTCAGGCTGCAGGAGGTCATCATAATTAAAAATACTTCCCTGTGCTAAAAATATTCATGCTGCCATCTTTAGTTACTTTAGGATGCTTGGGGGACCAAAGACAGGATGCAAACATTTTATTGAATCAGTAAATAAACTCTGCAATCAGGTCAAAAAAAGAACAAACACCAGCAGCCAAGCAGGGAACTAAGGTTTTTATCAGGCAGAATAGTTGTGTGCACGGAGAGAGCTTTGTATGAGTAAATGCCTATGGAGATTCTCAATCATCAAGGTCATGGTTGTCCCAAAAGACCACACCTAGAATACTGCATCCAGTTTTGGTCACCACACTATAAAAAAAGATGTTGAGACTCCAGAAAGAGTGCAGAGAAGAGCAACCAGGATGATTAGGGGACTGGAGACTAAAACATATGAAGAACGGTTGCAGGAACTGGGCATGGCTAGTCTAGTGAAGAGAAGGACCAGGGGAGACAGGAGAGCAGTCTTCCAATATTTGAGGGGCTGCCACACAGAGGAAGGGGTCAAGCTATTCTCCAAGGTCAGACAAGGAATAATGGATGGAAACTGAACAAGGAGAGGTTTAACCTGGAAATAAGGAGGAATTTTCTGACAGTGAGAACAATCAACCCATGGAACAGAAGTTGCCTTTGGAAGTGGTGGGAGCATCATCACTGGAAGCTTTCAAGATGAAACTGGACTGCCATCTGTCATAAATAATGTAGGGTCTCCTGCTTGGGTGAGGGTAGATGACCTACAAGGTCCCTTCCAACTCTATTATAAATCTAAATCTAAAAGGAACTGGACTTTCCTGTTGTTGTTGTTTTTCCTTGAAAACAGGCCTTTCTGCAGTCCCAAGAAGGTTCCACATCCATTTGCACTGTGATACAGATGACTCTGAGGATACAGTTGGCCTTAATGACTCCCAGAGTGCAAATAACCACATGGCTGCAAAGAAAACGAATTTTTCTAATTTTCTACCAGAACTGAAAGAACCTTCCTGAATGAGAAGTGAAACCTTTTCAAGGAAAAAGAAGAAGAAATTCCAGTTGCCTCCTGGAAAAGCACATTGCCGACTTTGCGTCCTGCAAAGCAACTTCAGCAAGCTGCGGAGAACTAAAACAAGAGCTACATACGCACCTGTTGGTAGAGGCGTTCCCAGTAGTCTTGCGTCATGAGGCGAAACAAGGAGAGGAAAGCCCATCCAAAAGTATCAAAGCTGGTGAAGCCAAAATCAGGATTATCTCCGACTTTCAGGCACACGTATTGTGGTGGGCAGGACCTTTAAAAAGACAGTGTTCTCACTTAAACCAGAGTGCAGGTAGTCCTCACTTAATGACTGTAATTGGGACCAGCAAGTCTATCTCTAAGTGATATGGTCATTAAGAGATTACTTTGCTTGTAACAATGGCAGTTCTGACAACACCCAATTGCTGTTGTTAAATGAATCCCATGTGGTCATTAAGTGAGGACCCATAGGGATCCAAGCTATTTCTGGAAAATGCCTCCAGTTCCATTCCCCTCCCCCACATCAAAGTTACCCTAAATGTGAAGTCACACCAGCTAAGAAAAAAAACCCTGCTAACTGAACTTCCTAAGTAAAAATAATGTATTTTGCTATAAATGTTTTTTTATGTTCTTGTTTATGCATGTCTAGCCCGTGGGATACTGCGAAACTCTTCATCTGCTCAACTTTTGATTCACTAGATTTCACTTTTATTTTATTTTATTTAGTTTAGTTTGTTAAGCATGTATGAGAAAACAAGTACAAGTATGAACATAACATATAAACATATAAGTATAAACAGGTATATCCATAATAAATGAATATGAATAAATGGGAACAGTGGGACGGAGATGGAAGGCATACTGGTGTGCTTATGTACGCCCCCTTACAGACCTCTTAGGAATGGAGTGAGGTCCACAGTAGCCAGTTTAAGGTTAAAGTTTTGGGGGCTTGAGGAAGTAAAAACAAAGTCAGGTAGGGAATTCCAGGCATTGACCATTCTGTTGCTGAAGTCGTATTTTCTGCAATCGAATTTGGTGCAGTTTACTTTGAGTTTGTATCTATTGTTTGCCCATGTGTTATTGCGGTGGAAGCTGAAGTACTCATTGACACGTAGGATGTTGTAGCAGACAGTTTTGTGTACTAAGCTTAGAACAGACCATATGGGTGTAGTTCTAGTTTGTCTAGGTCCAATATTTCAAACCTGGTGGCTTAAGGTATTCTGTTGCAAGCTAAGGAGTTGAGTACTCTTCTCGTGAAATACCTCTGGACTCGCTCAATTGTATTGATGTCTGTTATACCAGGGGTCCCCAGCCACCGGGCCACAGACTGGTACCGGTCCGTGGAACATTTCCTACTGGGCCGCCGGTTTGCTGGGCACCGCCATCTTGTTTGACGAGAAAGTGCTTCCGGGTGAGCTTTTCCGGTTGCAAAGCGGCGTTTGGGTCCTGAAGGAATCCTCGCACCTTAGTTTCATCGAAGGGGGGGGCTTCGAACGAAACTAAGGCGCGAGGATTCTTTCAGCACCCAAGGCAAGGCGAGCCGAGCGGCCGTCCGGAAGCGAAGCCCATAGACAAAGGTACAAAGGAGGAGTTGAAGGTGGCGGGGAGAAGTGGGGGACAGCTGGCTGGCCGGTCGCTCGACTCGCCTTGCCTTGTCATGCGTGCTGATGCCGGTACCGGGCCACGGATCATTTTGTGATGCTGGTACCGGGCCGTGGCACAAAAAAGGTTGGGGCCCACTGTGTTATACAATGTGGATAAGTACTTTTTTTGTATTTATGTAAGTAAGCGTTTTGGCTTTGAGGCCTATTGGGGAAGATGCTAGTCCTCATATATCTCTTACAGCCCTTTGAATTAGAGACTCCTATGTAGGATGGCTTTCAGCACCAAACTAAAGGTGGGAAGATAGTTTGTTTGGGAAGTTAAAACTTACATCATCTAGGCTTTTAAGGTTTACTTTTTCCTGGCTTTCCTGACTATTGTAATCAGCGGTTTTATTTGTCCTTTCTTGGTATTTTATTTTTTTCATTGTTAACTGCTCTCTCGTCACGGTCCAATTGCAGAATTCAAATTTAATGAGTACAGGGTAGTCCTCGATTTACAACCATTCATTTAGTTAGTGACCAATCAAGGTTACAACAGCATTGGAAAAAAAGTGACTTATGCCTATTTTTCATTCTTACGACCCATTGTGTGATGACCTGGGGCATGGCACAAAGGCAACACAGGTACATAAGTTACTTTACATAAGTAACAGTTACATAAGTAACTTTAATACCTCCAACTTTGCCCCAATATCCAGGTTACCTTCAGCTGGAGAAAAAACTCTTCCCAAAAGAGTCTTTAAGTGGAGGAAATTCAGTCCGAAAGCAAAGTACATATAAACTGTAAATAAAAATCCACACAAACCACGCTGCAGCACTTAACTGGACAGGGCAGGATAAGGAATTGCAGACTTCAAAGGCCAACAAATCACACACAGTTGGGAAGATGCCAGGAACCCAGATAAGCCTCGACAATAAAAGATAACTCACAATTTGCTTCCAACAACTTTGCTGTGCCTAGCTTCCCTTTTTAAAAATCTTGTTCCCAGCTGCAGCTAATGAAGAGAATCAGGGCCCTTTCCTTCCCCATAAGCCATGCAACTCACGTTGCTCCCTTCTCCATTCCTCCCTGCGTGCCCTAGGATGAAGAGGGGGTGGGCCTGGGTCTTCCTCCGAATTCCCTCTCCCTTGCTCTACCTCTCCCCTGCTCTGCCCAGCTGGATTTTGCTCTTCTCAGTTTCTTCCACAGCCAACACCCTCCAAATCAGATTCCGACAGGGGCATGACACATTGCAGCCATCCCCATTATCACATGATCAAAATTCAGATGCTTGGCAATTGATACGTATTTATGATGGTTGCCATGTCTCCCGGGGTCATGTGATCCCCTTTTACAACCCTCCAAGAAGCAAAGTCAATGGGGAAGCCCAGATTCACTTAACAACCCTGTGATGAACTCAACAGCGGAGTGATTCACTTAACAAAGGTGGCAAGACAGGTCATAAAACAGAACATCACTCACTTAACAGCTGTTTTTGCTTAGCAGTGGAAATTTTGTGCTCAGCTGCGGTCATAGGTCGAGGACTGCCTGTGGCCACAGCAGGAGCAATAGGGGAAAAATATTCTCCAAATTGTTATTCTGTTGAAATGCAGCCTCTGTCAGCCATCCTGAGCTTTTCAATCAAGGGGAAAATTTCAAAATGGGCAAATAACAGCTCGAGCCACTTACCCTCCATCGGAACCATTGCGACACAGCAAAAAGTCTTCAGTGCCATTTTTCAATTGGTAATTTTCTGCAAAACCAGAAAGACCAGCTCTATCAATAATAAATAACAGCTCCTTGGACACATAGTTTTTGATCGTCAAAACAATAAGATCAAACAAATCAGCCCTTGTTTCCCCAAACTGTCTTCCATTCCATCTCTTCTGAAGCATCTTTCTCTTAATATTCAGTCAAAAACACATCTTTGTCCTTCTTTCTTGCATATGTTACGTTTTTAAATCCGAAATCACTAATGTGCATTCATGCAGGAATCAGGGGTGGGATTCATCCGGTGTTACTATCGGTTCGGTGACTACGTTTTGCTTCGCGCAGATGTGTGTCAGATTCACGTTGCGCACATGTGTAAAAAAACCTTAAGCTGTGTCGCCTGGACAACTGAAAAGTGCTGCACGCAGGTGCACAGCATTTGAAAAGTCTCTTTTTTTCCTGCTTTTTCAACCTCAGCTATGCCGCGCAAAGCAGCTGAGGTTGAAAAAGCAAAAAATAAAGGACAGGTAAGAGCCCGGGTGGGCGGGTGGGCCAAACAGCAGCAAACAGAGAACCGGTTCGGTGTCTGTTCCTCTTCAGAGCTACCGGTTCTATAGAGCTGGGCAGAACCAGTAGCATCCCACCCCTGGCAGGAATGTAGTTTTCAGCAGCACGCTCTGAATGAAACCTCTTTTTTCCTTAAGAACAAGTACATCATTTTAAATAAAAAGAGTAAGACAGCCTCCAGCCAATCTCCCTACATTCTGAAGTTTTCTAAGTCCCAAATATGGGATTGAATCCTTACTGTCTCATTCATAGAATAGAATGTAGTAGAATAGAATAGAATAGAATAGAATAGAATAGAATAGAATAGAATAGAATGGAATGGAATGGAATGGAATGGAATGGAATGGAATGGAGTGGAGTGGAGTGGAGTGGAGTGGAGTGGAGTGGAGTGGAGTGGAATGGAATGGAATGGAATAGAATAGAATAGAATAGAATAGAATAGAATAGAATAGAATAGAATAGAATAGAATGTAGTAAAATAGAATGGAATGGAATGGAATGGAATGGAATGGAGTAGAGTAGAGTAGAGTAGAGTAGAGTAGAGTAGAGTAGAGTAGAGTAGAGTAGAGTAGAGTAGAGTAGAGTAGAGTAGAACTAGAAATAGAACAGAACAGAACAGAACAGAATAGAATACTTTATTGGCCAAGTGTGATTGGACACACAAGGAATTTGTCTTGGTGCAAATGCTCTCAGTGTACATAAAAAGGCAAGATACATCCGTCAAGAGTCAAGAATCATCAGGTACAACACTTAATAATAGTCATAGGGTATAATAAGCAACCAAATCTTACTAGGAAACAGTTCTAGAATATTTCCCTTCCCCACTTTCCATACATAGCCCAAAGAGGAGGCCGAAATATGTAATGAATTAATCATAATGGCAGGTGCTGAGGTATCTTACCTTTAGAGTTGATGAAAATCTCATAAGAAATGTTACTTATGCTCTGATTGATAAATTCCGTATAGTTCCTGACACATTTCTGTTTCAGATGTCCCTTGAAGAGTTGGAGGCCAATGAGGGCGAAGACGCTCAAGCAGAAAACAGTCAAGATCATCACGTCTGTGAGTTTCTTCACCGACTGGATCAAAGCTCCAACAATGACCTTCAGGCCTTCAGAGAACGAAAGAAAGACCAAGATCATAAGAACTGGAGAACTTCAGTGCTAGCGACGTGGCCTAGTTTGGGTAATGAAACAAGAAAGCAACCAAGCCCACAGGACCCCTCAGGCCCGGACCCCTTTAATCTCAGTATAAAACAGATGTTGAGACCAGAGGTGGGATTCAATTTTTTTTTTAACTACCGGTTCTGTGGACGTGGCTTGCTGGGCATGGCAGGGGAAGGATACTGCAAAATCTCCAGTCAGAGGCGGTATTTGCCAGTTCTCCGAACTACTCAAAATTTCCGCTACCGGTTCTCCAGAACTGGTCAGAACCTGCTGAATACCCACCTCTGGGTGAGACTCTAGAAACAGTGCAGTGAAGAGAAACAAAGATGATAAAGGGGCTGGAGGCAAAAACATAAGAAGAATGGTTGCAGCAATTGGGTATGTCTAGTCCAGGGGTGTCAAACTCGATTTCATTGAGGGCCGCATCAGGGTTGTGCATGACCAACCATGGAGGGTGCGACCAAGGTGGGCATGACCAGCTCAAAGTCTCTGATGTTGGGGAGCTCCTGTGATGGCCAAGCGCTAAGGCAGGACTCTCCCTCACTCTCATTATAATCTCCTTCCTTCCTTCCTTTTCTTCTTTTTCTTTCTTGCTCTCTTCCCACCTTTCCTTTTTCCTTTGCCTTTCCTCTTTCCCTTCCTCCTTTCCTGTCCCTTTTTGCACGCTCAAATGCAAAAGGGGAAACATTTTTTTTCCTATTGTTTTGTTTTTAGTCTGTTTTGCTGGCCCTCTGCCAGTGAAAATAGAGCTCGGGGCGGGTGTGTGTGTGTGTGTGTGTGCAACCCTCCCGTGCCCCGTTTTTGGCTGTGATGACCTCCTGTAGCCCTCTGCCAGTGAAAACAGAGCTCGGGAGGCTGTGTGCAGCCCCCTGCACCCATTTTCAGCCACCACGGCCTTCTGCAGCCCTCTGTCAGAGAATATAGAGCTCGGAGGACACACCCCATTTTTGTCACAATGGCCTCTTGCAGGCCTCTGCCAGCCAAAACAGAGTTTAGGGGGGTGCAGGCCAGTCCTTTGCTGCTTCCAGGTCAGCCCCATGGACCAGATCTAAGCACCCCACAGGTTGGATCTGGCCCCCAGGCCTTGAGTTGGATACCCCGGTCTAGTGTATTGACAAGAAGGACCAGGGGAGACATGATAGCAGTGTTCCCATATCTCAAGAGCTACCACAAAGAAGAGGGGGTGGTCACCCTATTCTTCAAAGCACCCAAAGACAGGACAAGAAGCAATGGTTGGAAACTAATCAAGGAGAGAAGTAATCTAGAACTAAGGAGACATTTCCTGACAGAGCAATTAATTATCTTCAGGCGTTGTGGGTGCCCCAACGCTGGAGGTGTTTAAGAAGAGATTGGATAACCATTTGTATGAAATGGTATAGCATATAATACTTGAGCTGGGGGGTTGGACTAGAAGACCTCCAGGGTCCCTCCCAACTCTTCATATTTTGTTATTCTTATCACCATGAGAAATTATTCCAAAAATTTCATACCTGGGACAATGGAAATTGTTTTCAAAGCCCTCAACACTCGGAACATCCGAAGAACGGAGACATTTCCCAGTTCAATAAACTCCCCTATATACCTGTAACATCAACATAGGGTAAATGTCAGTGTTAGGGCCCACTCTGCCTCTGGAAGAGGGGGTTGATTCTGGCTTTGTTTAAACCCCCCATTAAACATCACCAATCAGTGGGAAGAAACATCTATCAGGAATTGAGCAGATTCAATCTCTGCCTAGTCCAGCAACAAAATTATTGTTATTGTTGTGGTCTGTCACAAAACCAGATGTTCAGACTGGATTGGGCATTTTTTATCAACCTATTGAGTTCTTCCCAAGGATAGGCAGATGCTGTCATTTAATAATATTAAACTTAACATTGTAGGATGTAAATTGTTCCACATAAAACTGCCTATTGCCATTGCTACTGAATGCCTTTGCTGCCTGCTTTGCCATGAGACTATGTTAGGTGGCAAAAATGGTTATTGAAGCGTTCTGGACTGATATTTTTGCAAAATAAATAAGTGCAAATGTGATATATGCGAATCAATGCAAAAAAAATAGACACAAATGGAACGTTTGACATCTGGGGATTAATTGTCCATGGAGAACTTCAAGCCTCTTCCTCAAAGGTGCCTACAGGGGAAGCTTCAAGAACAACAGGAATAGCCGACACTCCAGAAGATAGGCTTAAGATACAGAAGGATCTTGGCAGACTCAAACATTGGGCGCTATCTAACAAAATGAAATTTAATGATGAAAAAAGTTTGGTTCTACATTTAGGCAAGAAAAATCAAATACACAGGTACAGTATAGGTGGTACTTGGCTCAATAATAGTAACTGTGAGTGGGATCTCGAAGTCCTAGTGGACAACCATTTAAATATGAGCCAGCCGTGTGCAGCAGCTGCCAAAAAAGCCAACACAGTTCTAGGCTAGAATCAAGATCACGTGAAGGGTTAATACCACTTTATAATGCCTTAATAAGGCCATTCTTGGAATACTGCATCCAGTTTTGGTTGCCACAATGTAAAAAAGATGTTGAGACTCTAGAAAGAGTGCAGAGAAGAGCAACCAAGATGATTAGGGGACTGGAGGCTAAAACATATGAAAGGTTGCAGGAACTGGTTATGTCTAGTTTAATGAAAAGAAGGACCAGGGGAGACATGATAGCGGTGTTCCAATATCTCAGGGGCTGCCCCAAAGAAGAGGGAGTCAAGCTATTCTCCAAAGACCCTGAGGGCAGGACAAGAAGCAAAGGGTGGAAACTAATCAGGAAGAGAAGTAATCTAGAACCACCAAGGAGAAATTTCCTGACAGAACAATTAAACAATTAACTTGCCTCCAGAAGTTGTGGATGCTCCAACACTGTAAGTTTTTAAAAAGATGTTGGAAGTGGCAGGGGAAGGATACTGTAAATCTCCATTCAATTGGAGTAACTGCCGGAATCCTGACACCCCGCTCCTGGGGGAAGGTTACTGCAAAAATCCCCATTCCCTCCCCATCTTGCTAACCTGCTTTCCATCTCCGTTCTCCTGTGCAGGGCAACAAAAGGAGACCCAAGCAATCACCTGGTACTCAATGGGAGGCAGAGAATAGATGGGGGCGGGGCCAGTCAGAGGTGGTATTGGCCGGTTCTCTGAACTACTCAAAATTTCCACTACTGGTTCTCCAGAACTGGTCAGAACCGGCTGAATACCCACCTCTGGGCAATAGGCTGACTCTGTAAACTGCTTTAGAGAGGGCTATAAACCACTATAAGTGGCATATAAGTCTAAGTGTTAAGTGCTGGTGCTATGAGTTCTTGGATCAAGTACAGAAGGCAGTTCCTCCTTCTCATTACTAACCAGCTACATCTGCATGCTTTCCCCACCTGAAGCCTCATGACTGTCCTGCCGTGGTTGTGCTTCATCCAAGTCCCTCTCAGCCAGCTGTTTGACCAACTCCCCTCCAGAGTGTCTGGGACTGGTTCACCCTCCTCCAAATTAAATTCCTTTACTCTTTTAAACTCCTTTACAAACTCCTTTACCCTTATTGACCTCACGCCATTACTAAGAGGTCTGTAAGGGGCATGCGTAAATGCACAATCGTGCCTACCAGCCCTTATTCTATTGTCCCCATTTATTCGTACCTATTTCCTGTATTCATATTCATGTTTATTCTTATACCTATTATCTTTTAAGCGATTGACAAATCAAATAAATAAATGAATTGACATCTGGAGAAGCTTCCAGGGGAATCACCTCTTACACACACACATGGTATCCCTATTTCCAAGTCTTGGCAGCATTTTTAAAGAGAGAATTCCTCCCTCCCTTTCAAACATGATTATTCTCTGTACAACAAGACATAGGAAGGGCCTCATAATTTGTAGCCTGTAATTGCCTCTTTGGTTTCCTTTCAGGAGAGTTTATGGGCTTAAAATGTGATGCTTCTTGTTAGAAAATTCAAAATATCGATCCGTTTGTCTCCCTTGACTTGAACATTCAGGCTTGAGAACATTTGCTTGATTCACTTAAGAATTGCAATGATTAGATTAATAACTAAGTAGAAAAAAAGACCATAAAATTGGGGGCAATTCACTTAACAATTGTGTTGCTTAGCAATTGAAATTCTGTGCCAATTATGGTCATAAATCAAGGATGGCCTGTATTTCTTCATTTCCGCCCCCACGAACTGATAAACCCATTCATGCATTATGAAAATTTTTGCCTAATTCTGCAAAACGAGTACAGGCAGGAAAAATTTACTTTTTCACAGAAAAACTTTTTTATTTTTTCTTATTTTATACTGTATACTTTTCTTATTTTATACTGTACATATATATA